CTCTGCAGAGCAGACAGCTTTCTCCGGGGAAGCCTGAGGGGAGAAGCGTCCGGAGGGAAGAGGGTGTGGGATCATTCGTCCCAGGAGGCAGGGAGAGGCGTCAGCAAAGAGAAGCACAGACGTGGGGAGTCCCAGACGGGAGGTGCGGATGGAGGGTGGAAGGAAGGGTCCGCAGGTGGAGAAGGAGCCGAGTCAGCAGAGGGTGCAGGCGAGGGCAGGGATGGGGCAGACGGCACGGACGACCATTCCTGCTCTGGACTTGCTTTCCAGGGCACTGTCAGGCCCCACGCAGAGCTGGAGTTGCTTCCCCTCCCCTGGAACCAAGTACGCTGTCCACTACCTAGGCCTGGAAGGACAGTGAGAAGGAGGCTCGGTGGCTCCCGTGAGCCACACGTTTCGCCCGTTCTCCGGACACTTGCCCTTGGACTCGGGCCACTCAGAGAGGCTGCGGGTAGGCATTTGTTTGTCAGCCTCTGCCACCAGATGTGTGAATCCTCGAGTCTCCAGAGGACTCTAGCCCAGTGCTGAAGTCCCCGACTGGGAGCAGAGGAAAAGCATCCTGGCCCTGTGTAGAGCAGAGACAACACTCTCTGAGAATGCTTCATGGTTGTTTAATGCTATGAGGTTTGGGAGTAATTTGTTACACAGTGCTACTGACTGATATACTAGGTGCCTGCGGGGCCTTATGTGGCGGGTAAGTCATGATCTGCTCGGATGAAGCATCTCAGCCTTCCTAGGGAAACCTGGTAGGAAGCTGCTTACTAGATACTGGGGAAGGAGAGGGGTAGTTGGGGCACGGCTGCCAGCCTCCCAGCCCTCCGGCCCTGGATGAGGACAAGTTCCTGACCAGGTCTGAAGGTGGAGCTTCTAGGATAAAGCTGGGCCAGAAGCTCTGAGTGAGGAATCATGAAATCTGAACCAAACGCTTCCTGAGCATCCTGGCACTGTGGCCATTCAGCTGTCACTTAAGATCTAGGGATAAGCAAATAAGCTGTGTCTAGCAATGGGACCCTGCTTAGGTAAATAGTGGCATCTCCACCATATGTAGTCACTGAAAACGATGCTCTCATTGAGGGCTGCATGTGCAGCTCAGTGGTAAAACTCACGTTTGGCACACACAAGGCCCTGGCTTTCACCCTCACTCAGCACTGAAACAAAATGTACATTTTGAGGGATATTTAAAGATGTAAGATGACTCGTGATGAGTAGAGCAGAGGTAGACTCTTAAGCCATAACCCCCTGACACCCCATGTTTGTGGGGATTGAAATGTTAATTGCACATATCTCTTGGGCTATAGGATTTTGGCTGAGATTATTTTCTTCTTTAACTTTCCTGTGTGTTTTGAATTTTTTAAAGGCAAACCGTATTCGTCTTAGGCTCAAGAAAGCATGGGTATATTATTATTTGTAAAATGAACCTGGCTATTAGAATTTAAATTGTGTGCTCTGGATGTCCCATGGGCATTACTGTGTTCCCTAGAATGCTTTTACGGAGACCAAGGTCAGAAAAGAGGCGTCCTCTCCCCTTCCCTGCAGGGACAAGGGCAAGGGTGTGAGCGGAGCAGCAGACTTCTGCTCCAGCAGGCTTCGGCACATCTGTTAAATGCTGCCAGTTTACTAATATCTCAACCAGGAGCCTCAGCCCATCTCCCCTGTGCATTCGAAGGTCCCTGAGCTGCCCTTCCTCCCCTCCCCTGCCTCTCACCTCTAGGGTGGCTGGTGGAGTGCTCCAGTGGGTTCTGTGTAGGGAGCTAAAGTTGCACAGCTGCTTCGGAGCTCCCTGTTCTCCCTCAGCCTCAGCTCAGGTGGTTTCACACTAGGGACTGAGGAAAAGGCCCTCTTGGTACAGCTGGGCACATGGGAGCTGGTTAGGACTGGGCTCTGGCAACCTGCATCACCTTTGTGATGCCAAGGCCACCCCAAGGGGGTGTCAGAGTTGCTGGGGCCTGCAAAGAAAGCAGCAATGGTGAAGTACCTTGGCCACCTGGCAGACTGGGGGACACAGAAGGTTCCCATAAATGGGCACCAGCAAGAGGAGGAACTGGCAATAGGAGGCCTCTCCTGGGTGTAGCCATGCAGGGGGATGCTGGGATTCTCCCAAACGAAAGAGCAATGGGCACAGGAAACCCACAGAGCCTCGCCTCCAAGGGCTGTTCTAGAGCAATCCATCATGCAAAACGTCTTGAGGGCCATCAGCACTCTTGAACATTCACTCTGATGCCGGTCATCGAGCTGGGGTATCTTTGTTTTCTCGTTGAAGGAGTTGGCACCACAGCTCCCAGGATGCAGGAAAAGGAGGACTCCAGGAGCAGCCCATTCCTGTGTTGAGTTGGGCCAGGCTTCTGGGCTGCTGAATTCTATCATCCTTCTGCCCCTAAGCCCACGGACAAAGCTTTGAGAGGTATCTGTGCCCTCCGCTCTAATTGGCCATTTTTCTGTTTTCTTCCTCAACCTCCAAATTCTATTTCTGAAACTGATAGGTCAAAAGTGAAGGGGGGGAAAAAGGCAGAAGTCTAAACACATCGAGGGGAAAGGAATTCTAGGAATAAATCAAGGTGTTTTCCTAAGAGGCCCCCAGTCTAGGTGCCAGTGCCAAACACCTGCTGTGCTCTTGCTTTATGACCTCCTCCTTTCTTGTTTTCTCTCACTGTGGCATCAGGCTGGTGTGCACTCTCAGCCTCAGCATTATCAGTGCTGGCGGCAGATCATTTTGTGGGGGTGGGGTGAGAGCCGATCTGTGCTTCACAGGGTATTTAGCAGCCTCCTCAGCCCCTACCCAGTAAACCCAATTGCATTGTCTTCAAGTTATGACAACTGAAATGTCTCCAGATGTAGGAGACACAAATGTCCCCTTGACTTAGCAGTATCTACCTTTTCATGGTTGCTTTCCCCAAAGGTGCTGCCTTTCTTTTATTCTTCCTTCCATTTCCTCTCTCTCCAACCATGCATCTTCCCCCTACCCTATGAATCTTCATGATGAGCAGATCCACTGACGTAAGAGACCTGCTGGTCCTGCTGGTCACAATGTCCAGTGATGTTGTGTTCTTGTTCAGTCACGGTTGCTCCCCCAACCTGGGACGAAGGTACCCTGGACTCACTTCACAATGGGGCATCTGGAGCAGAGACAAGGTCAGACATCACGTTGGAGCTGAAGGGTGTATGGAAAGATACCCACCAAGGGCTGAGACTGAGCACCACTCCCCCAAACTATTTTTGTCCTCCTGGCCGGACTACATTTCCCATCTCCCCTTGCTTTCAGATATAGTCACATGATTAGATTCTGTCTAATGGCATGTGCACAGGCAAAATCACAACTTGATGATCTCTTAAAATCTCCCAGTAGATCTCTACCCACAAGATAATTTATTTTTGCTGTCCTTATATGCCCACTAGATGTCCATGCTCAGGGCAACTTCCACAGTAGGGAACTCTGAATCTGCATGGCCATGGGGAGCAGGAACTGCTTCCCCGCCCTGCTGAGTGGGTATCATGAATGAGAAATGAACGTCTAATGTGATAAGCCATTACATACTTGCTGGTTATGGAGTTAGCCTGTGAGTGAAGGGTAAAAGGGGGTTGTGACTAGTATTTTCATTAGGAGCTGGAACACTGGTTTCCATGTGGGTTCTTACAGACCTAACTCTGGAAGATACAGAGACAGATTTTTAGCTGAAGGAAACATGTGATCATGAGACTGTGGGGTGGTGGTCAGGCCCTGCATGCAGACTGGAATGGGAGTCTACCCAGGATGGCTGTGAGGCTTTTGCTGAGCAAGAGTTTCTTCAGGGGTAAGAATAAACAGGGGACACGGAAGTTCTGGCATGAGGAGGCAACTCCAGGCAGCTTTGGCTCCACGCTGGCCGCGCAGTCAGCCTCCAGGTTGGCCAGGGGCTGTTGGTGGGACCTGACAGAGGTCTGTCCTGGCCTTGAGACCTGGTGGCTCAGCACATATGCATGTGAACATTCATTTCCCAGCTGCCCTTCTTAGGCAGGAAGAAAGAGGGTTAAAAAGCCAGAGCAGAAAGTTCAGAGAAGCAGAGGATGCCATAGGCACGAGTGTGAGGGTGTAGGGACACAGAGGCACTGCCTCCCTGGTCACCACCCTTCTCTGGGACCAGAGTGCAAAGGCCTGCATGGGAGCAAAGTCCTCAAAGAAGGCTCAAAAGTTTGGTTCTCTTGGTTCTGGGAGGGGCACTGAAGCCTGTAGTTCTCAGGAAGACTCACAGTCTTATTCCTTAAAGGGGAAGGTGGAATTGGATCAATTGGATCCCCTGAGTCACAGCATGGGAAGAACAGAGAGTCTCTGACTATCTCTCCTTCCTCAGTCCTGAGGAGAAGGCTGATGTCCAGTCAGGGCCCACCCCCAAGGTGGGCCCACCCTGGCAGCTGACAGTAGTTGTCCAGGAGTGCCTAGGTCAACGCGGCCACTCTGAGCCCTGTCTATCCCTTACCTCGCTCCTCCCTATTCCAGGGGACAGTAGTGGTCAGCTGCTCTGCTTGGGATTGGATGGCTTGGCCCTGTAATGGCAGAAGGAAGCCCAAGACACTGCTCATAGTTTGGTTTTGGGGCTCCTCTACTTCTTCATTGCAGAATTTCTCAGGAAAGGAGGCTGGTGAGTAGACTTCCTCAAAACCCCACTAGGTAACCTAGCATCTCCATGGCTTGACTTAGTCTGGCCATCTCCACCACAAGTTCTGAGGACAAAACTGGCTTGCTCTGTTGCCTGGATGCCTACACCACACCATGAGGTTGCCTGTCTTCTGGGAAATCACCTTGATGGTATCATCCAGAAGTCTAAGATTAGCTAGAGTCCTGGGGGAGGTGACCAGGGACCAAGATTCAACTCAGAGAAATCGGCCTTGGCCAGATACTGTCCACCCCAACCCTCAGCCTCCAACTTCTCTTGGAGGGTCTGGTGTCCCCTACAGCCGGGACACCAAGTGCCCGCAAAGAGAACTCAAGCGGGGTTCTTTTCCCATCTCCCTACATCAAGAGGGGAACATTTTAAAAATTTTTTTATTTAATAAAAAAAAAAAAAAAAGACAGAACTAATCCCAAACCAATAGTGGGTACAGGATCACAGGTGCTTAACTGGCACACAGTGGGGAGGGAGGTGGGAAGAGGGTTCAGGCCACACATCTCCCAGAAGGGTGCCAGGTCTGAGACTGGCCACAGCAGGGAGCCAGCTCTGTCCCTCTGCCTGGCAGGCCTGGCTGGAGGAAGGGCGAGCCAGAGACCAGGGTCCCTGAACCAGGACGGCAGTGGGGAGAAAGGCTGTGAAGGCTGGAGCGACTGAGGTTGTTTTGCTCCCTTCCTTCTGTCCCTCTTCGTTGTATTTCCCCTTTCTTTCTACTCTTTCTTGGACCCAGAGTGGGCCCTGCGTTCTCCATTTGGGACAGGGCAAGAGGTAGGATTCATTGGAGCACAGCTTTCTTTAAGGAACCACAGTAAACGTCTGGGGCAGCTTGGGTGCAAGGAATAGCCAGGCTGCCTTGCTTTTGGAAGAGAGAGAAGACAAGTCCTCGGGCCTTGCTGGACGGTGGATCTTTCTTCAGCCTGGTAAGAAAGAAACCAGTGCGGTGGTGGAGGTGTGGAGGAAAGGCCAGGGTGGCGGGGAGGCAGGCCAGGGGTGGCCTGCAGCGGGGACAGGCCACAAGCCCAGACGCTGCGGTGCTCACTCTTACGCATGCGCAGACACATCACCGTCGGGAGCCAACTCCACCAGGAGGAGAGAGCAACCACGAAGGAGCCCTGGACGCCTCGCATCTCAGCTCATCGGCACACAGGGGCAATTGGCTGGAGATGTGACACGAGATGTCCTTTCCTGCGTGTGAAGGGCGAGCAGGGAAGGACGAAGGTCAGGCCGCACAGACTGGGTTCTGAACTCCTAGGGCTGGGTCGGCCCAGGGGCTTGGTGAGCAGATGGCTGAGGTAAGAATTTGCTCATCATGTCTAAGTGCGACACCTACCAGGATCACAGATGACTGTTCAGGATTGGTTAAGAAGTCTCAAAAAGTAAGAAACGATTTCTCTTTAGAAAGCACATGTTTTATAGAAAAGAAGCTAAGTTCCATGTTTCAGAGTTCTTCCGAACCCGGGCACACTTTCATGTTCTCTGCTTGTTTCAGAAAGGGGAAAATGGCTGGAAAACAGCAAAACATAGAGCCTACTTGCTCAGTTTTGAACAGTGTAGAGGTCCCTCTCCCCTAAGGATGAAGGAAAGCTCAGCTTGGCCTATTCAGTCAGACTTCCTCCTCTGCGTCTTTGCTGGTGGTGGCAGACTAGATTGCAATTACAGGAGTTGGGGGACATGATGCTGCTACTTTTTAAGAAAAAGAAATGAACACAATTTGTTTTCCTGGTGTTGATTTGAGATGGGTCGGGATACATAACTACCCAGGAAATGGATGCGTGTTCTGTTTTGTTTTTTGGTTTGTTTTCTCTTGAGTCTTCCTTTCTTGCACAGAGGTTCAGGCTTCTGTTGCCAAATGCCAGTTGGGGGCCTGGGAGTCTGCCTCCACCTCCTCCCGTGCTCCCGCAGGGACAGAACTGCTCTTCAGGCCAGTGGGGAAGGACACTGCAGGAGGGCGTGAAGCCACCTTTCCTCTAACCGGTGGAGTCCTCCAGACACTCAGGTTTGGTGTGTCCTGCCCATTCTGAGTGAGGCAGAAACTTGCAGAAGCAGACAGGAAAGCCATCCACAGCCCCAGTCTTTCCTCAGCACCTCCACGGGCCTCAGTCTCCTCAGGTGAGGGAAGCAGCCTCAGGAAAGCACAAAGCCAAAGCACCAGTTGGCTGCAGAGTTTCTCTTCAGGATGATTATTTCTCACCAACAGTCCCCTGCCGGCGTACCAGAGAGAGAGAGAGAGAAAGGGGAGAGGAGGGAATGAGTTTTGCCATCCTCATTTCTGCTCTAAGACACAGGAACTTCTGGTTCAAAAGCAGCCAAAAAGTGTCCAGAAGCCCCTTGTGCCCAGAGTGGCCTTTGGTGGCCCAGTGTCCAGCAGAGAGCAAAGACCTCAAAATCCCATTCTTCTGGTAAGATTTGTTTCCAGCAGGAGATAATGGCTCAATTTAGTTTTCCCTCGCAGCCTCAGGAAAGCTCTTGGACCTCCCGGAGGTTTTGGAAACCCCAGGGGTGCCAAGCACTGTTTTTTTTTATGGGGGCGGTAAAGTCAGCCTTCCGTTTCTCTGGCAGCCCCTGTTTCAGGCTCCTGGCTTCCTTCCCTCTAAGCCAGCCCATGACACTGTCTGTAGAGGAGGAAGGGTTACATTTGGCTTCAGTTCATCGTCCATGTGTCCTAAAGACCACGTGCCCTCCTGCGTGACACAAACAGCTGTGCTGGGGGAGGCCAGCGCTGAGAGGAGAGCAGGCAGCTCACACGGGGGTGGTCCGCCGGTTCAGCATGCTCACGTGGAAGCCTTCCTTCAGGTCCGGCTGGAAGAAGTCATGTACCTGGAGGAAGCCGGCCTCCTGGTCCGGGCTGTAGCTGGCTGCCGTGGTCACCTTGAGTGGCTCCCTGGACAGCGTGTACATGGACAGCTCCCCCATGGGGATGGCCCCGGCGATCTTCAGGCCCACGGGGGACGCGTCCCTGGAGGGTGAGGCCTCAGTGGACCTCGAGCTAGACCTGGAGCGCCGTCGTCGGTATCTGTAGCTCGGCATCCTGGCGTAAGGAGAAGAGGAAGAAGCCTTAAGGAACTCCCGTTTGGTCTTAAACCTCAACTCTTTATTTTTCTCAATGTAAATGTTTACAGCCAGGACGCCCACGGTCTCTGCCACAATAAATGACAGGGCACCAAAGTAAAAGGACCAGCCATAGTTGTAGTGGTTCTTTTTGTCTTCGTCTCGCTTGTCACTGGGGTCACCTGTGTTGCTGGAAATGTAGACGATGATGCCTATGATGTTACTGAGGCCTGAAAGGAAGCAAAAGGAGGGGTTGGGGAGGAGGAGAGGCAGGGGTTAGACCCGAGGCTGGAGCAACAGGACGGGGAACAGGTGGCCAGAGGAGGGGCTGGTGGCCATTCCTTCCCTGCTGAGTACTTCTTGACCTTGGTACCTAATTTTCCTTCTAAGAACAGTTGTCCCTTGGTATCCACAGGACCCCCTTGCAGATACCAACATCTGCAGATGCTGCAGACCTTGCTATAAAATAGTGTGGTGTTTGTCGTCCCGTGCACTGTTAGGTATAAGAAATCAGGTACAATGTAAGTGCTGTGTAAATAGTTACACCGTTTCTTCTACTCAAAGGCCACTTGCTTCCATTCTGGGCCCTCACCCTGTCTGTACCATGCCAGCTTCTTCAGGTCTTGGCTGCCCTCGACTCCCTCAGGTACCTCCCTGAACCCCACCTTGGCCAGGCCCCCCATTACAGGCTCATAAGGCACCCAGCACCTGGCTTTGGTTGTACTTTGCACACTTGCTCTTTTGGGAGTGCAGAACTCGTGGCATTTAGTACATTCACAATGTGTGTAACCAGCACCTCTAAGTCCAAGACCCTTGGTCACTCCAGAAGGAAGCCTTGTTAGGCCGAGGACTCCCCAGGCCCCATACACCTGGATTTTTAAAGTTAATTACATGTGTCAATTTCAGTTGTCCCTCCCGCCAGGATGCACACGCCCTGGCTATGGGGACCGCGTGTGCATGGACTCCTCCGGGTCCCCAGCTCCTCTGCTGGCACTGGCTTGGGTGGGCAGCGGGCCTGGGTGGGTCGCTCACCTGCAGCCACAAAGAGGATGCCAGCACTGAGGACGATGTTGTTCTTGCGGCTGTAGATCCTCCCGGCGCCAATGCAGAGTCCTCCGAGCAGCAGTAGGATGGTGCTGAGGATGGGAAAGATGCTGGAGGCTCGCACAATGCCTGGGCCAGGGAAGGGACAGAGCAAAGAAGGCCGTGAGACCAGCGCCCTCCCGGGCCACAGCCAGGGACATCTCCCCGGAACTCTGCAGCTTGAGGTCCTCCCCCTGAGGCCGGGTGGGCCAAGGCAGCAAAAGCCCCAAGCCTGCAGTTTGCTCGGGCACCGAGTGGCTCAGAGCTACGACTGCCCACCTCTGGCTCAGTCTCTCCCTGGGCGTGGGTCATACTTCAGTCAACCGGGAGGGAGCAGAGTCCCACAGCGGCACTGGGGAGGCCACAGTGACAGCCGTGATCTCGGGCTGCACCAGATGCTTTTTACACCTCCCAGCCTGCTGAGGTCCGTCACCGACAGGCTCCGGGGCCTTGGTCGCAGGGGAAGCCAGACGGAGGCTGGGAGGCAAGGCTTCCCAGGTGAGACGGGGTGCAGACCTGCTCTGTGACGTGGTGGTGGTGCGGCTTCGGTTAAGCCACTTTCCAGAGTCACTTTCCCCACCTATGAGACGTGGTTTATAACAGCGTCTTCCCCGCCATCTGCAGGGGCTACATTCCAAGCCCCCCAGAACATGTCTGCAACCGTGGACAGTCCCGAGCCCTACATGCTGTGGTACCTCAGTGTACGAACTTAATTTGTTTTATGACTTCAGGGACGATGCCTGTGTTTGTGTTTGTGTGGGGAAGATAGCCATGGGTGTGTTTGTCCCCCAGTGAGTTTAGGAATGGAAGCAAGGTTTTGCTCAGTGCTTTTGGCTGAAAACCAAACTGTTTGCAAACAGAAGTGCTTGGGAACTGAGGCATTATTGTCTGCGTACTGTGTTTGGCTATGTGTACATATATAACGTTCACAAATTAGGTGAGGTAAGAGATTGGCAACAACCAATAATAACATAGAACGATTATGCAGATATAATAAAATTATTGAAAACATAGGGATCACTTATTCCTGGAACCCCCAGCTCTCACTCAGTCCTGGAAATTAAATAACTGAATCCAGGGCCTTCACGCTGAGCTTCATTCCCGGCCCTTTTTAAGTTTTGCGACAGGCTCTCGCTAAGTAGCCCAGACTCGGCTTGAACCTGCAGGTCTCCTGCCTTAGCTTCCCAGAGTGCTGGGATTATAGATGCGTCCCAACATCCCCAGATACCATTCCATATTTCTGAACTGCAGTTGGCTAAAACCTCAAAATGAAACCAAGAATGCGGTGGGGCAGTTCATTGTCACATTGTCGTTCCGATGTCCTGTGGTTGGTTTTGTGCATGTAAAGCCCCTCTTTGCACAGGGCCTGGCCATAGTATGTGCTTCCTAAATGATATGCCTTCTGCTCATCTTCTTCCTCTCTACCATCATCATCATCATCACCATGATCATCTTCATCCCTGGCAAGAGACGCGGATGGGGAGACTCGTGCCATGCATGAAGCCACAGAGGAGGCAGAGAGGCACAGTGAGAGGCCTGTGGACCGTGACGTCTAGCAGATACACACCCTGGTTCTGCCACTGACCAGCAAGGGATGCTGAGGCAGACAGATTCAGTGTCCTCTGGAATCCACTCTTTCGTACCCAGGAAATAGTAATAACACCAACTTCTAAGGGTGGATCCCCCACCCGCTTATGTGTGAAGGTTCTAATGCCCAGGAGCTGTGAACTTGATCTTACTGGAAAAAAAAAATCTTCCCATATGCAATTAAGGATGTCAAGAGGACAGCATGCTGGATGAGCCAGCGGGTCCCTGACTCTAGGAGGAAACAAAGCTCTTATGGGGGGGGGGTGGCAGTGCGGAGACAGAGGCAGGGAGTACAGTGATGTGGGCCAGGAAAAGCCAGTGCCACCAAGGAAAGAGCCCCCCCCCCGGAGCCTGCAGAGGGAACAGGGTCCTACTGACACCTTGATTTTGAGCTTGTGGCTGCCACAACGTAAGTGGTCAATTTCTGTTAAGTCACATAGTGTGTGATTATTGGCTACAGCAGCTATAGGAAATGAACGCCTACTCAGAGACTTACTGTGAGAAAACACTGAGCACACAGTAGGGCTTGAGGGTCCCCTCCCTTAGTGTGAGGCAGGAGGGACATGAGGAGTCCACAGCTCAGCCCGAGCGCCTTCCAGCCCTGGAGAAATCCGGCCACACAGGCCTTGGTGGTCTCAGTGGGGACATGGAGTCAGGGAGTGCAGGCAGATGCCCCTCCTGGGCCAGCTGACTGGCTTGGGGCCTCACAGCCTCTGAAGGCTGCATTTGTCTCCTGTTTGCACAGCCACCAGTGCGGGCCCTCTTCATAGATGAGGGATTGTCTGGGGCGTTAAATGAACCTCTTCTCTGTGCCACCACCTCCTCCCCAGTTCCTTTCTTTCCTCCTTGCAGCCGCAGGCGCTGGGAGTGGGCTTCCGATGTGCTTCTGAAATGTGCTTCTGAGCTGCTCTGGCTAGACGGCTGGGCCAGGACCCTTCCCCACCTGGTGCCCTCTTCCTGCAGACTGGTCAGGGCAGCCGGGGAGAATGGAGCCTACGGGCTCCGGGGTCACCCGAGGCCCAGGCCTGGCACAGAGCCACCATCCACCCTACTGCGCGTGCACCTGTGGTCAGGATGTGCAGATGGCAGTCGGGGTTGACATGGACACTGGTGCTGGTCGAGTGTCTCAAAGATGACGTGGCTGGCATCCAGCCCCTCTCTGGCTGGCCACGTCAAGCCCCGGTGATGGTGTGTGTCTCCCCAGAGGATGGACGCCACCTCGGACTCCCAGCAGCCTGAACACCCGCTCTCTGTGGCTCAGCACCGACACGATCCACTTAACTGGAAGTGCAGGACCCGGGAGGGGGGCGCCAGGCTCAGGGCAAAATGAGCTGGAAACCTCGGAGCCAGCAGGGCCCATGGAAGAGCTAGCAGGCAGGGTGTGCACGCCCCCAAATCCTAGGCTGAGGATGTACACACCAACGGGCACACTGCAAGAGCTCCGAGGCCTTCAGGAGCCCAGTGACAACGACAACCCAGGGTGCGAGCCTGGCTTCTCCGGAAGGCTTCAGAACGCGTGGCTCAGGGTTGGGTTCCTTCCGGAATTGTCTAAGACAAAATGTGAAGACACAACCTGGGCCTTCTGGAGTTCTACACCTGGACAGCCGAGCTGCCGCTGTAATAGGCTACCAGCAGGCACCTCTGCCACGGAACTTTCTCCACAGCCCTGCTCTCCGCCAGAACTCTTGTTGCCTTTGCTACTGTGACCAATGGGCTGAATATAGTGCCTGGTACACAGCAGGCCCACGAAGATAAACCCTCACCTTCTCCAAGTATCAGCCCCTTGTGAGATCTTTCTCCTGTGCTTCCTCCTGCTCTGGAGATCAACAACATGAACAGAGACCAGAAGGCTGGATACTGGGGACACGTGACCTGGAGAATGCAGGCCAGGTGGCTGTGGGGACTGTGACCTTGACCTGTCTCAGTGAGGTGTCCACCCCCTCTGCCTCTGAGCTCACCTGCTCTCTGAAGGGGAAAGATGGTCAGAGACAAAAGCAGAGCTCAGTTTTCAGGGCCAAATATCCCTTTCTCTGCAGCCACCGAGTGGAAAGACACCCCCGTTGGGACGTCAGCTCTGCCCACCTTCCCAACCTGCTGGAGACTGAATACTTGTTTTTGGTACCGGGGATAGAACTCAGGACCTTGCATTTGCAAGGCAGGGGGTGGAACCACTGAGCTAAATCACTGGCCCTGGAGACCAAAGACTTGAAAGCCAGTGACCCTGGCTTCTGTGGGCGTTCCTGGGCTTGGTGATGACCTTGGCTGTGTCCCAAAGAAGCCTGAACTGTTCATCACTGCTACCATCACTTTATTTGAGACAATCACTCTGTGGCCCTCCCAGCCCTTGGGTCCTCCCTGGGGACACTGGTGGTGGAGTTCGAGGACCCCAAAGAGGGACTGAAGCTGGCTGGGCACATATTTCATCTGCCCCTGCAGATCCTCACTCCATCCTTCCCCATCCTGCCTTGGGTCACAGGAGGGCGACTGTGCGGACCAAAGCATTAAGGATCCAGACTGGCTTTTGGAGGAGAGTGCTGGGCACGGAGTTATTCCCCGAGCTTCCTTCCGCCAGGCTGGGGGATGAAGAGGCTGCATTTCTTCTGAAGGGTCTCGTTCCTGCCACGTGGCCCAGTCCTCACACCTGCCCTGCACTGCAGAACCCAAAGGATGTCATTTATACCACACTCTGTGCAGCTGACATCCCTCAAGTTATGCAGTGTGCAACCCACACAACTATCTGTAGCAGCCCTACGGGAGTTCCAGTTGCCTGGTTCAATGTGGGGCCTCCAGGAAGCAGAGTCAGAGGACAGGCAGCAGAGGAGTAGAAGCGGGGAGGAGGGATGGGGACAGAGCTCTGGCCGAATTATTTCAGGTTCTGGGTTTGGCAGGAGCAGCCTGTCATGGCCTGGGCTCCATGGGAACAGCACGCTGTTCTATTCTGCCAGATGACTCAGAATCCAAATTCTTTCTCTTAGAGAGAGAGAGATTAAAAAAAAAAAAAAGGTCCACAAGCAGGTGCAGAGTGGACTGTGCTCCCTCTGAGGGAACTGGTATGGATTCTCCGTGAACGAAGCTGGCCTCGACCCCCAGGGTGTTGCGGTGAGCAGCCCTCTGTGTCTTTCGGCTAACGTGGAAATGGACTGCGTCACTGAAATGCTGCTGGCTTTTCTATTGCCAGGCTCCTCCTGGGCTGCAGCTCCTTCCTCCTTCTCAGGGAAACCAATCACACCAGGGATGCGATGCGGATTTAGGGTGGGGCTGGGTTTGTTCTCTGGGCTTCGATATGTGCTGTGACGTTGGGGCCACAGTCTGGGGGCTCACTTGGGTGGGGGCGGGGACATGGGCAGCCCACAGGCAGAGGTGCCGGGCCCTCCAACTGGGGCATGAAAGACATGGCCTAGAGGCCGCTCTGCCATCTTCTTCACCTCCCTCACGCTGCCGAGCACCTCATGAAGCTGACTTCGGTTGCTGATTAATTTGGTTTTCAAGAATAGAATTCTGGGGAGTGGAGAGGGAGAGGAGGGCAGTACACAATCTGCTTGGGGAGGCACACCCCTCGGGAGCAGGTGGCCTTAGCAGCGACTGTGTCTTAAATCTCCCTTGCCCAGCCCTGGGTCCAGCCACTAGCACCCTTGAAGCTGGCCCACGCCCATCAGCCCCGCTGAGCGGTATCCTCTCAGCCCAGCCCTCAGTCTCCCCAGAGGATACCCAGCTGTCAGAGCAGCGCGGCACAAAACCTCACCCTCAGAATTCACAAGTTCTCCATGGAGAGGGAGGGTCCACAGCCTGCAGAGACCCGCCCCTCGGCCACGCCCCTCACAGGGCCCCCTTCTCCAGCGGCCTTCTTGCCTCCCACTGCCCCTGCCACGTGCACAAAGGACTCGCCACACTCACGAAGGAGATACTCTGAGCTGTCGTGGTCGTAATCATTGTCCTCTGGGAAGTGATTGATCCGGAAGCAGTGCCCTTTATAGATCCCTGGAGAGAAGGAGAGGAAAAGAACACTGTAAACATTCTAAGGGTTAGGGCATCCGTTCATTCCAGGCACCGTAATTGCATGTGTGTAATACTCTGCGTAGGCCTTGGGGACAGAGAGAAAGAAGGCAGCTCTGGCAACGCCAGTCTCGTGGGAGCACAGGCACACACAGAAAACTTGCACAGTGGGAATGAGATCGTTTGAAAAACAAGGCCGAGCCTTCCCTTTACCCTCTGATGGCCAAGGTGGGTGTGGCTTGATTGACAGCTGCCTTGTATCCTCCTCCTTAGTCCTCCTTACCACCCGCAGGGTGGCCTAGCAGCGGAAACAGTGCCTGAGGCAGAGACCTGGGACTTTGCCGATATCCTCAAAATCCTCAGGCCCTAGTGGTCCCTGATCAATACAGCTGACCCTTCTGGTGACTCCTTCAACGCAGTGACAGTTGCGACCTCAGTCCTATCATTTCTACAAAAATATAGGAGCTGTCAACCAAGCAGTCATTTCTCCTGTACTCAGCAGGGTTTTCACCATGTGGCTGTCCCAGGTGCTGCACAGCTGCTCCAGAAAATATCTGCCTTGGCTGCAGCAGGCTTCAAACGTGGACCTATTCCTATTACACCCTGCACTCTGGATGGCTGTACCTTGTAACTCCAGATGACCCCACCCTGTTATGACTTTGAAGCCCCCAAATAGGTCCATGAATCCCAGGAGACTGAGCATACGTGTGCTTGCTCCTCCTCGAATCTGTCCAGAAGGGCTTCCTCCAGTGCGCTGCCCTTCTGTACTGCCTACTTTATGATTTTTATCTCAAGTAGAGTGGGATGAGTGGGTTGCACTAAAAAGAGCTGGTTACACCAGAGTGGCCGAGCAGTGAACAGCAGCGGAGATAGGTGGAGACTGCCAGAGACCTGCAGTGACCTGCAAAAGCTCCAGAGAGGAAGAGCCCCAGCTGCAAAGACCCCAGGGAATTGCCAAGGGGGTTATGAGCCTTGGCTGCTGAGGAGCTTTCGGGATGGCTAAAAGCTGCTAAGAGCTGTACTATGAAGAGCTAAGAGGCACCGGCACTCAAAGCTCACGTCAAGGGAGATGGGACATCAAGGGAGCTGCATGTTGCCAATTTGTGATTTCTATCCAGTTGCACAAAAGAACCCTCAGTCAAATGGTGACAAGAGGAGGCCTCAAAGGAGACCACACCTTTTATGTTCCCAGTCTGGACGCCCAAAAGAGTAAAAGGACTCGCCATCGGTAACTCTGCAGGAGAAGAGATGCCATGCGGAACTTCCCTGGGGAGGCAGCATGTGTTATCCCCTGATCTAAGGAGATATTAAAGCCTCATCTTGAAAAATGAGAAAGAATTTGTCCATCGAAAGCAGGGTGAAGAGGGCCTTCCAGGCAGAGAAGCAAGATTGACAAAGGCAAGGGTGAGGCTAGGGGTTTGTCTGTCTGTGTTACTCTGTCTCTTTCAAACACACGGTACAGTGAATCCTCTCAAGAGTGGGCACTGAATCTGTACACAGTTAGTTCAGATACTAATTCCCTCACTCAGTGTGACTGAAGGTAGAGAACATGGAGCAAGAGAAAATTCCAGAAGGACTTAGAACGTCTCTTGCCTGTTCATTCCTCTCCGTTATGCACAGGGTAGAAGGCAGGACCCTTGGGTTGGTTAGTGACTGGACAGGCCTGTTCTCCCTTCCAGAATCTTCTCTAGCTCTCCCAGTTCCCTGCTGCTTTACAGCTTGGGGATGCCCACCACAGAAATGGACGGTGAGGAGGGGACACATGGAGAGACACTGTCATGTCCTACCTGTGCAGCCAACTCCGTGTACCTGGGTCGGCCTTTCAATTCTTGAAGAACAAAGAGCTCTCCATACTCTTGTGTGGCCTGTTCTGGGGCCATTTCCAACCTGGACCAAGTCTTTTCCACAACTTCTGCCAAGTGTCCTGCTGGCCTTCACAGCTCATCTTGACCTCATGGTCAGCAAGAGCACCATGTTGGAATCAGGCTCTTTGCTGGGCCCACACCTGTGTCTTGGTGCTTCTAACAAAGAAGTACCCTTAACAAGCTGGGAGCTTGTTGCTCTTGCATCTGGCCGCTAACAAGTTAGGCACCAGCTGCCCCTCCCCATGCTTTCCCTCTGCTGGACTTCCTTAGCCACTGTCTCCAAAGAGCTGGGTGAGGGGCTCAGGAACAACCTGCTTCCTGAAGGCCACTGGACCTTGATGGCCAATGGTGGGTAGGCTTGGCTTGGTCAGGGATGGTAGAGAAAGTGTGAGGGCCTTAGAAGTGGTATCTCGAGTGGGTGTGTATCCTCCAACAGTATTCACAGTGCGGGATCCAACATGAAAAACAGAGTTAAACCCCCAGTCTCATCGTCTGTACAAGCACAGCCCTTATCTCCCAGGGGTATTGGGAGAATGGTATGAAATGATAGTGGAGAGGCACTAGGATGATTCCTGGCTTATGGTGATAGCTCAGGAGAGAGTTGCTGCTGCTGGGCCCAGTCCCACATTCTCTGTTTCACTTGTACTTGCTTTCATGAATGGCCAGTGGAGAACCATGAGTATTTGTGAGTAAGAGCACAGAGTGCCAGTGTCTCGGGATGGCCAGGGGTGGCGAGCTCACAGAGCTCCTCTCCTCACTCCTCGCCTCGCCTCTGGCTTCGACACCACGGACTTGAAAAGTTTGTAAGATGCAGAATAAGCACTTTCCACAAAAATGGGCAGAATAGGTGAAACTCTCTGTCCCCCATTTTTATTGCTACCTCATGGGTCGAAACAAAATCAGCAAGTCATACCTGCTTGTTGAAACAAGTCAAATGATAAAAGGTTGGCAAGAAGTAAATAATCTCTCTTTTCAGATTTGCTCTCCTGCAGAAGACTTGCTAAGTTTGCTGTGTATCTTCTCTCATTTTCCTTTGTATGTACACCCACATACATTACACAGGATTCTCCTCCATTTTGGGGGGGTATCATGGGGATCAAACCTAGGTCCTCACTCATGCTAACCACAAGCTCTAACTCACAACTCTGTGAGTTGCGCCCACAGGCTCTATATTTAAATGGTAACCCTTATTTTGAGATCATTGTAGATTTACAAGTTATTGTGAGAAATAATATGGAAAGGTCAAGCGCCCGTGACTCAGTTTCCCCCAGTATGAGGTTCAGGATAATGACACTGAGAGGCAAGATCCAGAATGTCCCATTACTACAAGGGCCCCTCCTGTTGCCCCTTTCCAACTGCGCTCACCTCCTGCCTGCTGCAGCTCCTCCTCTACCCAAGGTTGGTGCTCAAGTGGTCTCCATTTTTGATAGTTTTGCCATTTAAACAATATTCTACCAATGGAATCATACAGCACATAACCTTCGGAGATTGGCTGCTTTCACTCAATAGAACTCTCCTGAGATCTATCCAAGCCAGTGTGTGTTACCAACAGTTGGTTCCCTCCGTTGGGGAGCAGTCTTTCACAGAACAGATATTGGTTTAATCATTTACCCACTGAAGGAAACCTGTCATTTCCTGCTATGAACAACAATACTGCTATGAACGTTCATGTACAGGTTTGTGGGTGAGTGTAAGTATTTATTTCTCTGGGATAAATGCCCAAGAGTGCAACTGCTGGGTCAAATGATGGTGACACGTTTAGGTTTGTAAGAGACAGCCAAAGTGGTTTCTAGACTGGCTGTAGTCCCCTAGTTTTAAAATGCTATTATGCAATATGCTTTACAGAATGCCTTTTTCACCTAACAATAATTACCAACATCTGTCCAGTTAAAAATTTCAATTTTTAGAAAACTTTTCTAATTAAAAAATGACAAGTTGATATCAATCCAAAAGTTGTGAAAGTCCTAAAAGGAAATAGCACAGAAATTAAAGGAGTCAAAAACATTCTCCACCATTGAAAATACTAAAGAAAAACATGCTTTGGCAGAAATAAGGATACCATACATTTATATATTCAAACTCAAAGCAAAACTCAGTTTTTGGAACATTAGCTTTCACACCGAAATATTTGCTCTAAATATTCCTTGAATATATTTTGTTAACTTCCATCATACATTTATGGTATTTATTTTATTATATTTAACAGAAATTATAAATGAAAACCACAAGGTCCAACATTACATTTATGGTTTATTTTATTATATTTTTAACAGAAATTATAAATGAAAACCACAAGGTCCAACATTTTAACTACAGTATTTATGTATGTGGATCTGGGGATTGAACTCAGGGTCTTATATATGTTAGGTGAGTGCTCTGTCACTGAGTTACACCCAGCCCTATTTACTCATTCTTTTGGGGGGTTCCAGGGATTGAACTCAGGACCTTGTGCTTATGAGGCAGGTGGCAGCACCACTGAGCTAAATCCCTGATCTCCCATTTACTCATTTTAAAATACATTCTTTTTAGCGGTTGTGTAACTGCCCATATTTAAGAATGCATCAATTCATTTATGCATAAAATTATCATTTCCACTTTTGGGGGCTCTGTCCACATGATGAACCCCACCACTGGGGATTCTGCTCAAAGGTAACCTGAATGCACGCACTCTGCAGATGTTTTTCCACCAAACTACCTTCATTCTTTCCTCCTCTTCTGTTTTTTTTTTTTAATCCTTCTTTATACACCAAGTTCTTTTGCAGACACCAAGAGATGAGCGCTGTTGTGGGCTGGGCTGTGTTGCCCCAGAAGATATGCTGCAGTCCTCACCCCCGGTATCTATGAAGGTAACTGTGTTAGTCAGCTTTCCATCACTGTAACAAAATGCTGGAGATAAATGATTTCTAAGGAGGAAAAGATTTAGTTTGGCTTACAGTTTCAGTCCATGGTCACTTGGCCCCATTGCTGGTGGCAGAGTATGTCATGGTGAGAGAGCATGGCAGACGAGGCCACTTCACCTCACAGAGGCCAGGGATCAAAGAAAGGGGGGAAGAGGCCAGGGTCCCAAAATCCCATTCATGGCACGGCCCCCCATGGCCTAGCTTCCTCCAGCTACACTCT